GCCATGTATCTATGTGACTTTGAGTGAATTAGTCTTTGTTTTGTTTCGAAGTAAACCTGTATTAAAAAATACCCATTTGACATCACTTTTTTTTTGTCTTTTGTCTTTTAGACACAGGGTCTCCTGTAGCCCCAGCGGTCCTGGAACTCACTACATAGACCAGGCTGGCCTCAAACTCACAAGGATCTGCCTGCCTCTGCCTCCCAAGTGCTGGGATTAAAGGCTTGCGCCACCACACCCGGCTTGACATCACTTCTAAAAAAATTGTTTATTTTATCTTATGTGTTTAAGTGCACCTGTGTCATTCAATGCCTGTGGAAGTCAGAAGAGGGTGTTGGATCCCCTAGAACTGGAGTTACCAAGTTGTTAGCTGCCATGTGGGTGCTGGGAATCAAGCCCGGGTCCTCTGCAAGGGTAGCCAGTGCTCTTAACCACTGAGCTGTCTCTCCAGCCCCTTGGCACCACTTTTATTAGATCACACCAGATATTTGTAAATTTAGGACAATGTGTGCCATTTACTGTATTTTATATACTATAAGATAAACCATTATTATAGATGTTCCTAAGGATGTAAAGCAGTATCAATTATTATTGTAAGAATTTGTTGTACCACCTTCTCTTAGGTTAGACAATAAAATGTCTTAAAACTAATGAGGTATAATATATTGGTATGTAGAAATGAATATAGTTCTGAGTCAGGCAAAATGATCATTGCTGGAACAATAGCAGTTCTAAGTTTGAAAGGAAAACAATCCATTTACATTTGTGGGTGGTTATCTAAATGGCAACAGAGCACAGGGCAAGCCTTCTTATTATTGAATTCCCAAATTACTTGTTGACTCTTCTAAGACATTATTAAAACATATTTCTTTCATTTTCTTAATGAAGCTTAGAGCTGCCTTCATTATAAACTCTCTAGGATCATTTAATAATCTATTAAGGCATGCTGTTTATTGTGGTCAGAATGTTTATGTCCTTTCCCAATGTATACGTTGAACTGCTAACCTTAGTGTGATTGCATTTGGAGATAGAGTCTGTGAGGAGATGCTTACAGGGAAAATGAGGTCAGAAGGATGGGCCCTAATGTGACAGGCTAGCTAGCACCCTTACAAAGAGAGGCACAGTCACCAGTACGCTTTCTCTTATGTGAGGACATGACAAGAAGGTGATTGTCTATAAGCCAGAAAGAGAGCCTTCTGCAAGAATTCAATCAACTGACATCCTCTTGTTGCACTTCTAGCTTTTAGAACTGCAAGAGAGAAAAGAAGAGAATGTCTCTTGTTTACATCACCCAGTTCATAGCATTCAGTGACAGAAGGCATTCAGTGAAAGATGACCGTGGATGGATCCATTCTGATCTTACCCCAGGGCTAGTCCTCAGCTGCTAGGGCACACTCTGCTCCATCTGAAGGGACTCGTTTGCAATTGGAAGCTTAAGACTATCTGATTGCCAACTCTTCCCATCTTCAGGTTTCTTCTTATTTGTAAAATCTTATGCTTCTTTATTAACATTAAAATGACTTTTTATTTGGACAGTTTATACAACTAGTAATGGAGATGAACATGCTTCTTATGGAATCTGATTAGATTTAAAGTTCATCATTTCTTCATATTCACACTTTCTTTAGTTAGCAAATTGAAAACTTTCTCCCTAGCAGTTTGATTTTCTGGACCTTGGTACTGCCTTTGTACGTTTTATAAGTGAAGTCCTGTCTTAGAATTTATTTTCACCAGCAGTTGAATTTTACTTCTATCAACAATTAATGTGACATGACAGGGAAGGTCCAAACAAAGTTCAGAATACAAAGATTATTTGTTGGAAAGCTTGTGTTTATGCAAAAGTGCCTGAGTTATGGAATAATTTTGAAGCACACACACCAATAGAAACCAAGAAAACAGTAATGCTTGGGAGTCCCTGGGGAAACCCATTTTAACAAGTAGATGAGATTGCTTACAATTCACATAATTTACATCTAACTGGATGTATCTGACAATCAGGAGTTTGCTTAAAGATGCTTGAAAGGGTGATCTTTCATTAATAATTCTGAGATATTGCCTCTGTAATTTTGTTTACATTTTTTTCTTTTTGGTCTTTTTGAGATAAGGTCTCCCTGTAGCCCCAGCTGTCCTGGCTTCACCATGGAGACCAGGCTGGCCTCGAACTCACAGAGATCCGCCTGCCTCTGCCTCCTGAGTGCTGGGATTAAAGGTGTGAGCCATCACATTCAGCTTTGTTTACATTTTTTATCAGAGCAAATGAATGACAGTCTTTAGTTCTTTGTGGTATCATTAGAGCAACTCTGTTTGCAAGCTCACATGCAAGGCTGTTGGCAAAAGAATTCACTTGTTTATACTATGGTTATCCCCAATTAAGGGATGTGCTCACTAGGGTATGTAAACTTCCCAACCTTTGACATGACACAGCATCACTTTTGCTGCCTGCGATTGTTGGTAAAGACAGTGTGGGTATCATTGAGAAAGGAATGCACAAAAGTGTGGACACTATGTGGTGGGATGTTAAGGTTATCACAGCAGTCAGCTTCTCCAGTTAAAATGTTGACATTAGCCTGACCATGCAGATACTTCTAGCAGACCATAGGAAAGGAGGATTCACTTAGGTTGACCCTTGAGAGTGCTTCCATTCCTTTTTAGATTAAGTTTTCTTTACATTTTTCAAATTCCTAATCACCTTCCATGAAATTCTCTTTTGCAGTTCCAGTTGTTTTAATAGAAGAATCATAACACATTGAGTTCCATGGAAATTAAACTTAAAAGCATGCACAATACTGAAACTGTTCTGTTTATCTCTAGATTACGGAAGTCAGGGTTGTTGTAGGCAATGGGAGATGCAAACACCGGAGAGGGGAGCAGGAACTTGTGACACTAGATTAGCAATGGCTGATGCCTATGTAGACTTAGGCTGTACACATGTGCATATACACATTGCCTAGATTGTCCACTGAAAGGGCCCCCAAGTCCCTCCACAGTAGCAATGACTAAGCCTATGTACAAAGATCACGATTTCTAAGTTTGAGGATTCAGTGAAAGGAATCAAGGCTGTGAGGGAGTAGGCAGTATGCCTAGAGAATCTTGTGGGCCAAAGCTTTTTAAATTACCAAAGAATAATAGAGATATGTCAAAATGATACAGCAGCCAAGCGTGTCTTCCCATGCTCATGTAGAGCAATTGGAATACGGATAATCAGTCTTAGGTGGAAATCATCAGTGGATAGTACAACAAGCAGATTTGAGGCTGATGAATAATATGCACACGTTTTCAATACTTCCTTTCTCAAAATACGTATTATACTATGAGGGGAAAAATAGAATGTTTATAGTGAAGAGGCCTGGCAGGTGTCATGAGATTGACGTCAATATCCTGGGGACCAGATGAGAGAACACGTGTCTCCTGATATGAGGCAAATACAGGATTGTTTTTTAAGGGACTCTGCTAAACATGAATTACTTGAATCTAATCAAGAGGAAGCATCACATGAAACCAAACTGAGGGGATGGCTGTAAAATGAGTGGTATGTATTCTTTAAAAATATCAAGTCATGGGTCTGGAGAGATGGCTCAGCCATTAACATCACTAACTGCTCTTGCAGACGACCCAGGTTTGAATCCCAGCACTCACATGGTGGGTAACAACTGTCTGTAACTCCAGGTACAGGGGATCCAACACTCTCTTCTGACCTCTGTGGGCATTGCATGACATGGGTGAACTCGTATACATGCAGGCGATACACTCATAACTTAAATTTTTTTCTTAAATCTAAAGGAAGCTGATGAAATGTGATAATTTACTTGATGCATGCTCCTGAGTCAGAGCTTGAACAAGGGAGTCATAGAATATTGTTGGGACAACTTGCAAATTTGGATGGAAGTCATAGATTGCACAATACCATTGCATCATGTAAAGTTATAATTATATAAGAATGTCCATTTTTAGAATATATTCATGGACATATTTAGGGATAAATGGATATCATATCTGTAGCCTTGAATATGCCCTCCCAAAATAGGTGTGAGAGACTGAGTGATGTTGTGCTGGATAGCTTTAGTGTCAACTTGACACACATGGGTTGAGGGAGTCTCAATGGGGAATTGCCTCTATTGGACTGGCCTGTGGCCATGTCTATGGGGAATCTTCTTGATGAGTGATGTGGCGGAGCCCAGCCCTCTGTGAGTGGTGCCACCCCTGAGCAGGTGGGCCTGTGTTGCATAAGAAAGCAGGCTGAGCAGGGGCCAGGGAGCAAGCCAGTCAGCAGTGTTCCTCCATGGCCTGTGCTCCAGCTCCTGCCTCCAGGTTCCTGCCCTGAGATGTTAACATTAAATCTGGGTAAATTGTCTTTGTTTCCTCCTGTTCCTATAATAAATTGCCCTAATGTCACTGCCTTATCCCTGATGATGAGAAGTCTGCCTGAACTTGGCTGGATTATGCCTAGGGTCTCAGGACTGAGTTAAAATGGTGGTATCCACAGGGCCGCATTCATTTATGGTGGCTGTGGGGATGAATCAGATTTAAGCTAATTCCCATTGTTGATTGAATTTGTGTTCTTATAACTGTGGGACCGAAGATCCAGTTCACTCACATGTGGCTGTCCCCATCTTCAAACCATCACTGGCATTCGAGCCCATCTCATGCTTTCAATCTGTTTTTCAGTGTTTGCATGAGTATATTATATCCGTCCAAATAATCCAGGATATGCTTTTCTTAATATCAACCAATCAGTAATCTTAATAATTCCAGCAAAATCTCTCGTGCCATGCAAGAATATAACAGCCATGCAAATTCAGAGGCAAACAGATGTCAAGTAGTAGTCTGTACTTTTTTCCACTACTTTTATGTAAATTTGAAATTACTTCAAAATAAAATGCTACCAAGATTCATAAGCACAGCCCAGCAGGTGGAGCAGGCAGTCACTGTATTGCTGTGTTACTGGTGATTTGGTTCCATTCTAACAGCACCACATCTGTTTTTCTCTCATTACATTTCAGGCCATCACCAAATCAAGCAAGGTACCTGTGAGGTGGTTGCTGTGCACCGCTGCTGCAATAAGAACCGCGTAGAAGAGCGTTCCCAAACAGTCAAATGTTCGTGCTTCCCAGGACAGGTGGCTGGCACAACTCGGGCTCAGCCTTCTTGCGTTGAAGGTAAGACCTTATGGTCAGCTTCTCTAATACTTCTGAAAGGCTGAAAAACAATCTATAGAAACCTAGGTTGCTTTAAGGTCAGTATCAGTCCAAAACACAATAGAAATACAAGCCGAAAATTTCTTGATGAATAAGGCAAGTCTAATAATCTCTCTGAAGAGGAATTGATTGAGAAGGTATGTCACAGTCTTTCTGCCCATCAGTCTCAAAATGCCACCAATACCAAACAGATCTTCCTTTGGGTGCCCTCTCTCTTTGTGTGTTTGTCCTTTAATATTCTTAAAGAATTAATTCTAGCATTCTCTATGAATATCACAGTATCTGTGAATGCTCAAGACCCTCATATAGAAGGACAGATTTTGTATATCATCTATGTGCATCCCCTTGTATACTTGAATTCATCTTTGTTATGATGCCTAGTGCAATGTGCAATGTAAACACTATATAATTAGTTATTAAACTATGTATAAGAGACTGTTTTCCACCTCTGGTCAGTTAAATCAAAGGATGTTTATCCCCATGGATATGGAGAGTTGATTATACTCAAAATTGTCAATGGGGTCTTTGTACTTCATGCTTAGTGGTACACAGTAATATCTATTTCATTATTTCTAGTTTATCATGTTTTTAAAATTTTATGTGTATAAGTGTTTTGCTGGTATGCATGTGTATTGCATGTGTGCAGTGTCTGCAGAGGCCAGAGGAGGGCACTGGATCCCCTGGACCTGTAGTTACAGACAGTTGTTAGTTGCCATGTGGGTTCTGGGAATTGAATTTGAGCCCTTTGCAAGAGTAGCAAGCATTCTTAACTGCCGATCCATCATTCTAGCCCCTAGTTTATTATGTTAACAATCATCTTTGGAGTAACTTTCCTGACAGTAGGATCATGTATCATTCCTTGGTAGTCTTTAGGTCCCTGAGACCAAAAACCAATAGTCTGAGGAAGAAAGTGTGTGTGTGTGTGTGTGTGTGTGTGTGTGTGTGTGTGTGTGTGTGTAATGAATTACTATTGATGGTTGTTGGTGGTGTTCTGGGATTAATTCCTCTTCATTCCCCTGGCTTCTTATAGAAGATACCATATTAGAAATTTGTTTCAGTCCCCAGGGGAACCAGGTACATATGTGCTCTGTAGTAGTCTGAAAACTCCACAAAACTGACCATCATTGGTTCAGGCTTGTTGAAGGGTCAGCAGCTAAGAAACAAACACATACCTTCTTAACTCCAGATCTTACTGTGCAGTCAACGATGATAGCCAACTCACATTCTACTTCCACTACCAAATATGAACAGACACATCCCCACATTTATGGGCAGAGTGGTCACAGTACTATGACTAATACAATCTCAGCCACCTTCATAGTGGAAAAGTGCAGTGAAAATTTCCCATCTACAAATCATTGTCAGAAATCATGGGGGCTGTTTGTGTCACCAAATCAGATTTTATAAGGGTAACTTAGTGTATATCCTATCTATTACCAACTAACCTACTGTTCTCTACACTTGAAGTCGTCCAAATCATTAATACTATCCTTTCTGTAGTGCAGTGTGTGGATATTCATGTAGCATGAGTAACCTCATATTAATTGAAGGAACTTTATTGTTGTCTCATAAAAGTCCTTTTCAGAACTCTGTGGATTTCTGATAAAGGATTATGGACCTATAAAAGGAGATAGGGCTCTTAGACATTAGAAACATAACATTTAGCAATGGACAATGTTTGATGCAGAAACTCACCACTGATTAAAGTACAGAGAATAAGTCAGTGGAGTGCTCAGCAACCAATGGAACATTGAAGAAGAGCCGAGAGGAAGACTGTAAGAGCCAGAGGTCAGGAAGAACCATTACACTCATAAACTGACAGCAGCCATGGTTGCCTACACAAGATCAAGTCAGTCAACATTCCATCAAGGAGAGGGAAGGGCTTTATGAGCTCCCTAACATCCACAGAGCAGCTGTTGATAGTTCTAGGGCAGAAAGAGTCAGTTTTCTTTAAGGGTGTAGCTACTGGATGGATTCTCAAAGAATTAATTTTTTAAAAAATGACACTTAAGAGTCTGGAGAGATGGCTCAATGGTTAAGAGCACTGGCTATTTTTGCAGAGGATCTGGGTTTACATCTGCCTTACAGCTAACAACTGTAACTCCAGTTCCAGGGGCTCTGATACCGTTTTTTGGACTCCATGGGCATTGCATGCGTAGGTGTATTTACTTTCAGGCAAAATACTTATACATATAAAATAAAAAATATAAATGTCACCTAAAATTGCCAAGTTTCTGTCTCTTTACCAGGGACCGTAACTGATTCCAAACCCTGTGTGTTCCGTCTCTCACATCAGTCTATGTTTCCCACTCCCACTTGGCTACTTCCAGACTCCAGGGGCCAACAGTACATTGAGTTTAAGTTTCCCCATCTTCTATTTTTCATCCCATAGACAGAATATACTTTCTACCCAGAGTGGCTCTATTTCTCTCATACTGAAAACCGTGCCTATGTGACTTCTTACTGTCTTTCAAGATAAACTCCACATTCTGTTCCATACTCACTCATTTTGGCTCTATCTCAGTTTCCCCTTTGAACTCTTCTTTAGCCAAACCAGACCTCCTTCATTTCCTCTGATCGCTGCCCATCACTTACTATATTCTTTCTCCTGGATGAGGGCCTTCCTCCCCTTCAGTAGGCATTTGGCCTACTGAATTCCTATTGCACTTTCCCATCTCCTGTGTGCTTTGTGTTTCCCTATGCTTTCAGTTAATGGCTCATCCATTTTGCTGTGAAAACCGGCCATAGGCATGTCTTCGTCATAGTCTGTGAGCAGGGTGTAGATAGGGATGGGGCCTCTTACTTTCACCTCCCTGCTCTGGCTGGCCATGAACTAGTTTTAGCTTGCCAGAGAGCTGACTCATCCTTACTAATCACAGGTTTCTCTCTCAAGGTAACAGCTGCATTTGCCTGCTCCAGGGGCTTTAAACTTCTTCTAAAGGAACTGATGTGTACATTCTGTCTAGTCTAGAATCTTTGGGTAACAAAAGTTTTACTTCTAATATTTTGCAATATTCAGCACTTTTAATGGTGCCTGAAAACTACTAATATAATGACTGTTGCAGTCTTTATCTTAGTAAATATATGAATAGCCTAAGATAGACTGCTGTAAGTTACACACACACGCACACACACCCCTATACCCTTTGACTATCACCCTTGGAGTAACTGTATCTGTTGAGTCAGTATATTTTTCAATATATTTATGTATTTGGAGACAGGCTGTAGTCATCAGTGGTAGGCTGTAGTATGAATGTATGCTTTGCGCATTTTTTAAGGTTCACCTACTTTCTATCAGTACTGGGTTGTAGGTATCTCTGTGTGCTGGCATGTATTGACCTAACTTGGCTTTTTAATGATTCTATAGCATTTCATTGTGGAACTATGACTTAGCTATTCCTTTATTGATGGGAATTTTGGTGTGTTTATGAGAAATCAAACACACTCACAGGCTAGCTACATGGCTGACTTTTCAAGCACATGAGGATCAGTAAGTGATGGAGGCCAATTATTTTTTTGGCATCTGACCATAATGTATGCAGCTCTGTTTGGTGAAGGTGCTCTCTCAAGAGAATATCTGTATGTGAGGATCCATTTGTTGATACAGAAGCAGATACATGTGGCCAGTGTGAGCTGAAATATGGGTGCTTCTGGCCAGAAGCTTCATATTGGATGGTGCAGCCTAAGCTTTGTATAATGTGAAACTTCTGTGTAACATTTATGGCCAGTGACTACCAATACTTTGGGTACTGTGGTTGTGTCTTTCCTGTTCTGTCTCACATACCTAGTATTCTTTGGGAACTAGTCATGTTCACTGAATGTTCATTGGTTCAAAGTCACTAGCAGGGTATAGGACACTTAAGCTTTAGTTGGGATGTGTGTCTGTTTTCTAACCCCTGATCTTCTATTGCTTATCTGTTTCCATTAGGGCTTTTTAGTGTTGCCCACTTAATCTTTATCCCATAATAATTATGCAGTATCATGCTGTTAATTGGCATGTGGGAAGACCCATTCTCTGCTGATATTTTCTTATCTTATTTGTAAATAAGCATAGAGAGGATGTGAAATATGAAACTTACTCAAATTTACATTTAAATTAAAACAATGGCACAAAGATGTTGGAGCAGGGAACTAATTAATGTTGACACAGAAAATGGAATATCCTTTTGCATTTTCGTTAATCCACACCATGGATACTTATCTGGTGCTTTCACTGCTTTTCTGTAAAAACCTAGCTTTAACAGTTAAATACAAAACCTAGGATTTTTACCCACTCACCCCAATTTTTTATTATAATTAGCTTATAATTAGCTCTGAATTATTTAAATTCATCTTCAACCAACATTTGGGATTTGAAAGAAGGGAGGGGAATTATTTTGGGCTCTAGTTCCTTGTGTCTTAAAATAGACAGTTGTTCTATGGATAAGCACTCTTTTTTTTTTTTTTTCAAATCTTCTACTGGCATATACAAGGCTATTTTGTGATGGGAACAATGTTCTACACATTTATCAAAAACAGTTCTATAGAGATAATGTTGACTGGTTTTATGATAAAGGAAGATAAATGTGTATTACAAGGAAGCTTAATTTATTTTGTCAAAATGAATGCTTTCTAAACATCAAATTTAAAACAGATTAATAAGACAAAAGCTTTGGGATGGAAGGCAGTTACTTTTAAAGCTATTTTTTTATCTTTTGATAATGTTCCATTTTCCCCCAATTTTCTGAATTGTCAGAACCAGTTTAATTAAAGAAGAGAGTTACTATTTGGACTATAGACAGTTCTCAGCACATTGTGGGTGGTGTAAAGAGACAGGGTCTCTGTGATGTGTTCTCACTGGGTGTGCTCCGCTTGCCACTGAGTTTCAGTCAGTGGTGGTCAGGAGAATGACAGGGAGGCTTACTTTACAAAAGCATCTTGGGGGTCAGAAGGATGCGCAGGTTCAATTGAGCATCTTTGTG